TATTTTCGAATATTAGCCAAATTAATTTTTCAATTTTTTTTAATATATAAATTTTTTCAAAATTATTTATTCTGTCAATTGATTCATGCATTGCCTCCAACTGCACACAAGTTTGCAAAATTTCAAATCAATTTGACAGGTAAAAGTGTGTCAAATATCAATTATAAGATTTGAAGCTGAGAAAATTATTTTTTCAGTATTTAATATTGAAAAAATACAAATTTTTTTAATTTTCAAAATCATTTATTCTGTCAATTGATTCATGCATTGTCTCCAACTTTATGCAAGTGTGCCAAATTTCAGATTTATTTATTCTATCAATTGATTCATGCATTGCCTCTTACTTCACACAAGTGTGCAAAATTTCAGATCAATTAGACAGGAATAATTACTCAGTGTGTCAAATAATATTATTATTAATAATAATATTACTATTAAGAATAATTAATTAGTGTGTCAAATATCAGTTATAAGATTTGTAGCTGACAAAATTATTTTTTAATTTTTTTATATTGAAAAAAATTATTTATTTTTCAAATCATTTATTCTGACATTTGATTCATGCATTGTCTCCAACTTTACAGAAGTGTGCAAAATTTCAGATCGATAGGATAAGTAGAAGTGTATTAAATTTTGATTACAAGATTTGTAGCAGGCAGACAGACAGACAGACAAACAAACAAACAGACAAGAAGTGAAGTTAAAGAGAAGTGTTGTGTTAAAGAGAAGTGTTAAAAATAAGAAGTGTTGTAATGAGAGTTCGATCTTTTGTATAAATGTATGTTTGAAGTGGATCTTTATTTAATTAGGATAAATAAGCTTTATTATTATTTAAGGGAGTCGACGGGACTGAGATTCCAATCTTTCATGAATTATCAACTCGAGCTCCGCCAGGCTAACCTGTTAGCTGAATTTAATAATTAATCAACACTTACCTGACAGTGTTGCCAACCACTGCCGGCAGCGGCCATTTCTCTTACACTTGGTTATCGCCATTGCTTCTCAAACCATTCACTGGATCAGCGATGCTCCTTAAGAACCAAGCCTTGAAGCTTCAAAAAAAACCTACATAAGCAGAGAATAAAATTAATTTCATGTTTGAATCGCAGAGATACTTTATATTTTTCATAGAATTTCGCATCCTTTTATTGCATAAAACATAATTTGAAATTACGTATTAGACCTTATTCTTAAACAATATTTCATATAAGAACTAGAATACGTGAGCAGAAATAGAATGGAAGAACTTCGTAGGTTAATATCTTCGAAAGATAAATGCTAATTTTTAAATTGAAAATTTAGGGTAACATGGGGCAAAGGGTCACGGGCCCAAAGCGGGTTTCCCGCTAAGTATGGCAGACATTGGTCCGTGCGCTCTACCGCCGGTTGACAGTTGCACTGGGCTGAAGTGTGTCGCTCTAAGTTTTGCTAAGAGTTTACGTTGATAAGTTACTCGCAAATAACTGTTTTAGCCCAGGATAAAAGTTCTGTTGCTGCTAATTAAAACTGTTTTCGATTACTGTATATGAAGCTTTTGAAATTACTCTGAATTTTAGTTTGAAAGTATTATTAATAGGGAAAATTTTGAGTTCAAGTTTAGATTATTAACTATTAAAATAAAATGTTTACACTATATAAATTGAAATGATACATAGTGGGGCAACGGGCCCATGCGTGTCACGGGGCAAAGCACCCATGGTGGGCTCAATACCCCTCTGAGAAGTCTTGTGTTATAAGTCATTAGATATGTCCCAATCAGCTTTTCAAAACTACGACTAATTTTTTTATTACAAATTGCACTTCATATTGTATGATTTTTTTTATTTGCAGCCTCAATGCTGCAGGTTTAGTTTCTAGTTATGCGTATTTATGACCCCTTATCGAGTTATTGACTCTTGCCTTGCCAAAAGTTGATTTCAGTCAACACCAATGAGCCAAAAGTTGATGAGCTTCTATGGTGTTGGCCGAAATCACGATTAGGTACGAATTCCCTGCACATCATATCTGGATTATGGACAAAACTGGAACGAAGTTTTTTTTCTGATTAAGTATGTATAATTTTTTAAGTCAATGATACATTTTTTCATGTCAAGGTTGAATTTTTTATGGCAAGGATATATTTTTCAAATCTAGGATATATATTTTTATGTCAAGGAAATATTTTTTTCAAGTTAAGGATATATTTTCTAAGTTGTTAATAAATGAATGAATGTAATATTTTTATTACCTACATTTTTCTTATTTTGAACTGTAAAGTATTGTTATATCATTTTTAATTAAAAAAATATGCATTTGTGGTAAAGGGACTGGGGTGGGCGACTTGCCCCAAGCCCATTACCCCAGGGGTGGGGCAATGGGCCCATTTTGACACTTTTTACAAAATAGTTTTTCAATAAATATTGAATAACTCTATAGGCGTCTAATTCACATCATACATTCCTCATTAGGTGTAACTCTAAACAAAACAAAGAACCACCTCGTATCAATTAAAACTTCATCAAAAACTTAGTGTAAAAAACGAGGGGCCCGCTGCCCCATGTTACCCTGTGTACCAAGGTGTCAAGTTTATGAACTATCATTCTAATCGGAGTCTCTGCACTTAAGTTGCATTTTCCCTACGATGGCTATTTTAATTATTTTTATTTTGTATTCACAATTCAAAACGTTTACTTATTTAATGATTAAATATCCAAATTCATGAAAATTTTTTTGAATTGTATATAATATCCAATTCAGCTTTACTGGAATCTACACTTTCATACTCTACATGGAATCTACACATTCATGTCACAAAAGAATTATTAGATTTACACTCTGCAGCAAAATACTTGTTGTCAGTTAACTTTGACGTCAATTAACCAACTGAAGAAGGAAGCTCAAAGAGAGCGGCCCTCGCTGTTGAAATGTTTTCGCTGCATCCTCCATTGCACAGCTGTGGGCTTCACTATTTATTATGCTTTGGGCTTAAATGTTTATTATGTAACGCTCATTATGGATTCATTATGCAGCACAAATCCCATTGAGCAATCGTTACAACCACAAAAGATAAAGAAGATGCGCAACTTGCAGTGCACGCTATATAACATCGGTAGACCGTCATGGCACTGGGAGTTCAGTGAAATATTGCAATTAATTTATCGAGCGCAAAGTCACTTGTGCTCGTACACTTATGGTAATATGAGTTTGAATATTTAGGCAGTGAATAATGGTGGAAGCTGGAGCTTAGCAATGCATGAAGCTCGTCAAGCAGTCCACGTCGCTTCTTTATATTCGTGAACGCGTTCTGCGCGCGAAGAAAAGACGATGCTGCGCATGAAAACGAAGAAACATTGAATACATTGGCAAAAACTTCAGAAATTAATTATATCAAGAATATTTGTCTTTGTATTAGGAGGATTAGTGCGAGTACACACCTAGAAGCGTCTGTACTTTTGGAATAAAAGTCTGTTCTTCGTAAGTTTGAATTTAATATGAATTATAAAGCGAGTGTTGGGCATAGATTTAAAATTAAGATTTATGGTAAAGATTTGCACAAATGCTCGTATACTTGTACGATAGCTTTCGATTATTTAATTTTAATTTCTGAAAAAGACAAAGTTTAACCGTGGATGTTTCAGTTGCAGTTCAGATGAAGTGCAGAGTCTTATATCAATTCAAAGTCGGTATCGATGCTTGCATCTGTATTTACAAAATGTTTTGCATAGAGCTTCTACTATCTTTCCATTATTATTTTGTTTAAAACTGTCACTATGCTGAAGAAAAAATCTCGGGCGATGCAGGCTACTTGTGGAGGTTAGTGTGTGCATTACCGCTATACCAATCTATGCATTGGTAGAGCGATTTGATGTGCCCAATTAGATCATTATGTACATAACAAATTCCTGTTATCGAGAGACTCTTTAAGCGAAACTTGTATGGCGACTGTAGTTAAGATTGGACAAGGTAAAATTGAAACGAATTTGGCAGCTCGAAACATGGCCCCCGAACCCTTGTACATGGTCATGTGTATCGGTGAAAATCTCATGTGTTCTTGTGCGGAACACTTGCCCGAATTTGGCTTTTTTTATCATACTAGCAGATTTTGTTATTAATGTGATTCTTTCACGAGCCTAAAATCTTTAAATTGGACAATTGTAAATAATTTCGTTTGTTACTAATACTTTACTTTACTTGTTTTAAAAATCTTGTTCTTGAACATCTTATTCCTTAAATAATTTCGTAATAATTTCGCACAAATAATTTTTCGTAAGAATAAGGAACTTATTCTTATTTGCTTTAGAAACCACAGGGGTTGAGGTCGCGCTAAGTCTGAACACAGCAACATTGCACGGAGGAGCATCAAGTTGAACGAAGAGGAAATGGCAATATAATCAGCTACTAATATTGTATAAAACTCCTACTTGATATACTTAATGTTTTAGGGAAAGTTCTCACTAGGTCGATAACACAGGCGCAGGAACATGATGGCCATCAGATGAAGTCATTCATCAGATGAAGTCATTTATTCGATTTATAGTATAAACACAAAAATGAACATGCGAGGGTAATTGTCCAAATATTGATGTACTTATTGCCCAATGGGGTCATCCTGACACAGTTTGGCCCGGCATTACGGCATTTGAATGTCTGATCGCGCTTCCGGAGAGATAATAATGATCACAATACGAACAATGGTGGACGACACAGAATTGTAATTAAAGCTAAGTACATTTTCTTAGTGAAGCATAACTCTGACAGCTGATAACTGTAATTTACAAAGGAAATTTTCACAATGTTCGTGTGTAAGATTTTTGTAGGGGACTCGGTGGCGTATGTTTCCTTCGAAGTAATCTTTTGATCACTCAACGGATGAATTCAAAAGATGCACCTCCCGCTGAGAGGCCTAAAAGAAATCAGTTTGCATGTCGGTAATGTCTAGGCCTGACCCCGCCTATTCTCGTCAACGCTTGGCTATATAATGCCATGTCAGCTCGACTTATCTCATGAGTCAACGACGAGGTTCGACGAAGTTGGTATACATTCCACAGCTTAGCAGACTCCACGAGGAAATGGTCAAACTTTCGGTGAGCACCGTTCCATTGATTAAAGTAGATTTATATAATATATTGACATTTTAGATACTAATATTTATAAGGTTTTATTATCTCGTCCTGTTTTTGTGCCTCGTTGCTGTTTTACATAGTTATTACTGTTTAATTTATGAGAGATATACAATTATGTAGGTAATTGTTTTTCGTTACTTTCGAACTCTCCTCCTTACCGTCTTTCGACCACTCTTTAATTAATCATTGGAAAATCAGAAAAATCAGAGAGTTAATTATTCAAACAAGTCGATATATTCAAACAAATATATGCTGGAGATGAGTTGTGCGCTATGTTCTGTTGGAAATAAAGCGAACTCGAGGCCGTCAAAACGACCATAATTCTGACGTTGAATTTACTTTCTTACGTTCCTAAGAAGCAAATTCTGGTCACGACTTACTGAAGTGTCTACTCTACTGATTGATTATTTAGTTAATCGTGATAGTTTGGTATAGTAGACTGTAATTCGCAGGATAGACCTGCTCTACTATTCTGTTCAGAATTTGCTCATGGATTTTTTCAACTGATCGATTATCCAGTATTTGAAAAATTTATTCCATTCAAGTCTGAGTTTATTTTGATGGAAGTTACATATGCAAAAAATTGTAGAAGAATCTGTTTAGCATATTTTGCTGGCAGATATCTGACTTGTTAATGATTTTATTATTTAACGTTGATTGGTTAGTTATCCTTTATTATTGTAACCCTGAGATCACGACAATACCCGAGTTTTAATTTCCTTATAATAGTGGAAACAAGGAAGATAAGTGACATAATGTTTGATGCCATCAGTTAAATTTTGATATCAAGTTAAACAAACGTACTTATTGCATAGTTATCTGAACCACACGTCATTGGTGTATGTCATTTAGCATAATATTTGCTATTATCTGTGCAGGAAGATGTCCATCATTCTTTTGTGAGCACAGCAGCAGTGATGCTTCTTCTGGTGAGCATCGTCTTGTTTGTTGGTTTTTCTACAGGATCTAAATCACTAATTTGAAAATTTGTGTAATATCTAAGTTTTATACGAACTAATATCCTCATTATTATGCCTTTACGTATCTCTTGTCTTACTATCGATAATTCTGGAATTTTAATCAATCTAAGCCATCTATAGATATTCGAAATGCCTATTCTAACTAGACGCAAGCTTTTCAATAATTACTTCACGCCTCACAAATGCTCAATGTTATTGAAGTTGTTGCAGTCTCAGGTCGGTACAATAAAGCTCGTCCGCAGGCAAACTTTGTTATGTTTCAGTTGGTGCAGTCAGGAGCTGCAGCGATCACACTCAGGCCCAACACCCGCATGGAGTTCGCCTCCTTGAGCTGCGCTGGGGAGTACAACAAGGCGGAGTACAGGGACCTGTCGCGTCTGCACTTCACCAGATCAAACTGCTTCCGCAACGAGATGTTCCCGAAGTGCGTGAGTTACCTGCTACTGGACAACCGCATGGGCGACTTTGTTAGGAAAATCAACTTGGCCAGCGGTGACCGCTGAGCTGACCGCGGTGGCCACTGAACTGCCCTCGGTGGCCAATGAACTGCCCTCGCAGGAAACTGAACTGACTTCGCTTGCCACTGAACTGCCCTTGGTTGCGACTGAACTGCGATCGGTGGCCGCTGATTTGCCCTCTGTACCCATAGAACTGCCTTTTGTTGCCACTGTCCCCGATACTCCTGGTTCTACGGATATACTTCTGCTCGCTACACTGGCAGCTTGTATGTCAGAACATTATAAAATCTAAAATCGGGTCTGTCTTTATATCTTATCCATGAATCTTAATTAAATTCATACTGTAAAATTAGTGCACAAGAAATGAAGTGTGAGTATTTTTTCTAAAAAATATCGATGGATGTCTGATAATTTTTGTTTCTCCCTAAACTAATATCGCATAGGAAATCGCCTAGAAAAACTACAACATGAATAATAGTTTGCATTATGATGTTAAATGTAAAAAAGCGACATGCATAGGTAAAAAGTAACAAAATTAAGTAAAAAAGTAACAAAATGTCATAGATTCAACTGTACTGTAATTTTTAGAATGCATATTAAGAAAATGAAAACATCTACATCAATTACACATTAATTTCCCAACAGCGACGACTTTTCTCCTGAAGATAATTTTGATAACACAAGGCCCTAGAGTTTAGTACCCTGCAGAGTCAATTTTTCAGCGATAACATTTAAAAAATTGAAATCATTAAAAACGTAAAAATTTTTGTCCAAATATATAAAGAGTTTCAATTCCAATTAAAAACTTTAATGAGAAGAAATGCTCATTGAAGTCGCATTGACTAGCAGAGATACTTATTTTCGCGCGCAAAAATACCTCTTAAATTCATTTTAAATATACTTCTTAGGCGTTTCACTCTCGCGGAAACGCCCGAGACAAAGCCAGTTTCAATCTATTGATATTTTAATATTACATCACTGAATAAACAGTAAAAAATTGGATGATTTGATGTTTCTTATTCTATTCATAAACAACTGTGCTTCAGTAATCATTCACTACATTAATAATATTTTATTGCGATCAGAGGTACAGTTGTCTAACATCATCTGTCGCATCTATTTTACTTTGTGAGGTCCTAATGATTATTAAAAATGATAAGCAGGAAGTTCAGCTATTACTGACAAACTCGTACTTCCCTCTTATGTGAAACAATTATGAGTGAAATTATTATGAAATTATTATGAGTGAAAATACAGTAGAACTACAAAGTATGCTGGACCGTGTATTGTGTGTAACCAAGTATGTTACGAAGTTTAGGGCGGGAAAATGAACGACTTTTAAGCCATTGGAATAATTTTATTCAGTTAAAAAATGCAAGACGAATGTATGAGGCCTTGTTGTTTAAGTATCACAAACCCCGCCAAACATTCGTTCAATGGAGGAGCCGACGCCGAGTAACGTGAATGACGTCTGGTTCCATTCAACGTAGCATGCATAACCTTCAAAGCGGAAGCATAGCAGCCAGTTAGATCAATTAAAATCAGTTTCAGAATATTGGATTAATTCATATGTATATACATATATCCCTTGAGGAAAAGCAATATTATTGTCTATTCATGTAATGGTGTTTATATATGCGAATATTAGGAGACCTAATTTTGTAGGTGGCAAAAAATCTACCGAGCAGCCGATACGAAGCTTTCCCGAGTTGCATCAAATTATTCATTGAGAACTTTTCTAAATGTGAAGCCCCAATTGAAGCATTATATTCAGGTGATTCACATTTATGAGTCCATGATTGTTTGATCCTGTGAGGACATCAAGTCTGTATTTGCCGTTGTCGGCGAGAGACTCGAGGGAGTTGAAGGACAGACACGTGTCGGCGACCGCCAGGAGGGGCGTGAGTGTTGCAGAGTAGGACACCAGCAACAGCATCTCCAGGACGTAGATCAGCAGGAACAGCCAGCGAAGGATGGCGTGTTTTGGCATTGTAGGATACTCTTGATGTACATGTTTAAGCATGTATATGAAACAATGGGTCAAGAAAAAATATTTTTAGAAGTTAAAAATTAGGAGATAAATTAAAAGTCATGATTAGGAATATTTGGGCAAAAGGTTCAGAAATAGAGGAGAAATGAATTCTGTGATTGCAATTTTTGCCTACGATTCCAGGTTTACGTACAAAATATAAAAGACTGACCTCGTTGCATATAGACGCTCCAGACGACTGAAAAATAATCATGCCTAAAAATCCAAAACTAATTTTCATTTCCGTGAGTTACATTTCAAGACTTTACTTCTTTGGTTGAAGTAAAGTTCGCCAATTTTTCTTCGTTGTACCTTGAATTCATTCTCCCGATATTTCCGATCAAAGTCTCACACGCAAAGACTTTTTTATTTTGATTGAGGTTATTTTCAATATGCGACTTGAGAAATTTCTCGGGAATCTCTGTGTTTCTGAAAAACTTCTTGCACACGCATCTCGTAAGCCTTCTAAGTCTCAGCAAGCGTGGTTTTCCTAGGAATGGGTCGCTTATACGTGAAGTGAAGGCAAAGACTGTTGACAAAATGATTTACGAAAGTAAGACTGTCCACCACAGCGAAGTATCAAACGAGCGCAAGAACGCCGCCCAGAGTTTCGTTGTTCCGCTGGGTATCTGAGCGAATATTCTGTACCTGAAATATGGTTTCATAAATTTAGTGATCGCAAATAATGTTGATGGAAAATGTATGTCTGCTGAAGTCTGAACATGAATGATGCGTAAAATTTAATTGGTACACGAAACAGTCACTAGAAAAAAGTCTCACTGAGGAAATAAGTAAAAATATTTCAGTACAACTGAGAAGCCCATGAAAATTGCCTGAAGTTGACAATGGTAGGAGAGAAGTCGACCACTCGGTCCCTAGGTTTGGTCCTAGACAAATAAGAGACAGCGATGTCCGCCCGACCGCTCGTCAAGTCCCCCACAAGTCCGGACCAGTTACCAGAGCTGAGCTACTTGCCGTAGTGCCCGTCCGTTGGCGTAACCACCGAGTACCTCAGCACGAAGGCAAAAGATTATAGACTTGAAAACTTTTAATTTATCGGCACAGGATCAATATTCTATATATTTATGATTGGTATTATGAAGCATGAAATACCAATTTATACAGCAGTCGAAACTGCGCTGAATCACACTTCAAAAACATAATTAATTTCAATATAAATATCAAAAACTAGTTCTAATAAACACTCGTGTAATCAAATGGAATAATGCAGGGTCATCAATATTTAGCGTTACAACTTTGAGTGGTTAGAACTATGAAATGAAACACAATTGTGCATGTTTGAAAAATGTATTTATGTAGGCAGAGGTTCAAAGATACAATTCCCACAATTTCATTCAATATTTCCATCATCTGCATCAATAACGAGTTGTAGACGCTTAGAGAAAGCCTTACACGAGTCACGAATGACACTCTGCGGGATTTTGGCCCACTCCTTCAGCAGTTTGACCTTTAGGGCATCCAAACTGCGATGGTGAACGGTCGAGACCTTGATCTCAAGGTATGACCAGATCCCAAAATCCAGAGGATTCAGATCGGGTGACGATGGGGCCATTCATCTTTGGTAATGAAGTGGGGAACATTCTCGGACAGCCACTCCTGAGTCGATTTGGCCCCATGGGATGGTGCAGAGTCCTGCTGGAACGACCAAGGCGTTTTTTGAAGTGCTTGCGTGCCCAGGGCAGCAATGCACCAACAAGGATGGCATCTTGAAAGTTCTTCTGATTCAATTTCACCCCTTTGTCAACAAAAAAGAGGGGACTCCTTGAGGACTCTGTTACGGCTGCCCAGACCATCACTGAGGTCGGGCATTGCTTCCTAGACACCACACGGGATCCTTTGTCCCATTCTTCTACCAAATTCGATCATTTTGGGAGTTGAAGTGGTGTTCAACATTGAATATCTTCTCATCACTGAAAACGAGGTTTGGCAACGTGCCCTCATGAATGCGGGAGAGAAGAATCTTGGATCTTTGAGGGCGTTTGTCAACAACCTGAGCAGACAGTTCGTGTTTTTTGACATGCTTGAATGGGGACAACTTTAGGTCCTTCCGGAAAACAGTCGACATGGTTCCATACGACACATTTGACTGTTTTGCGAGTGTATTGATTTTGAAAAAACAATGTAACGCTAAATATTGATGACTCTGTAATGCAAAATAATATCCAGCATTAAAAATGTATTCATTGATCCTACTGCTCTCAGCTTAGAATATGAGCGAACATGTTTTGTTAAATTATTCAAGACTTTAATAATTACTATCCCGCTCCCATATTGTCTGTTTTTACTCTGGGATGAGAATGAGCTTGACACTTCCATCAAAATAGTAATAATATTGCGATGATTATCTTGTGCATGATTCTAGTTAACGGATTACAGATCAATGAGAAAAGGGTACACAATGCTCATATCTACGCTGATAAAGCATGTATAAATAATGGTTAATTTTCCGTAGGCCCTCACGTGAAGTTCATGGCCGCCCTCAGGAGCTCCAGGCTCTCCCCAAAAACTCCCTTCATGGCGGTACGGCCGAGCGCTGCGCCGTGGTGATAGGCGCTCGCTTCTCTCACCTCAACACCGATCCAAAGCATAAATGTAAAACTGACACCGAGCTTTGCACCAGTAATATGAGGACAGGTTTACATACCACATATGGTTTGCTTTTAATTTCAGACTTAATTATACAAGCGTCTTAAATCCATTTTTTTTCTTAATGGATGGCTTTTTTTTGTTTCCAGATGGTCACGTGCACTGTGGCAACAAAAATGACTTACAGATACGGTAATTCTATAAATTTCGTACAAATCCTCCATAGATTATTCAGAATTAATATTAAGACACGTATTATTTCCTTATCAATACTTGAAATTCAAAGTGTAATTGAACGGAAATATGCAAGCACGATGTCCTTACATATATTGCCGTGACCACAAAATGCACTCCAGTCAAGTCGCGCTTGTAATTAAGCTGGTCTGTCCTTAGCTTCAGTTGCCCGTTCGTTTCTCCGCTCCTAGGGATCTGATAGGAACCAATGGTGACCGACCGATGCGGCAATCCTCTGGACGGATTCCAAATAGATTTTACTGAATATGTTTCAGAAAACCTCCCCTATACATAGACAACCTGAGAAAATCGGTAAAAATACGATTATTACACAAATTTCAGGAGTCAATATTATATTGAATCAATTAAATCGAACCAAATTATATCAAATTATACTAATTAATTCAAACTAAATTAATTATATCAAACACAAATTATATGAGTTTAATGATATACGTCCGGCCCTAAGCATTTCGTGTTAATTACCAAAGAAAAAGCAGGGAATAAACCAATTCTAGGTAATACATACTTTTAAGGTATTGATTTTGAAGGTTTGAAACAATTTATATTAATTGGATTTCATAATTATTACCTTTGTAGTCAAACCCTTCGTTGATTTGAACACAGAAATCCGCCGGCAAAGGACTCATCGCGTGGTCAATAAACAGCAGTCTATAAACGGACTGATAAACGGACTGGCTCCCAACTTAGAGAGTGAGACCTCCAAAATAATGACATATTACAACGAAAGAAGGGGGAGACTGTGCAGAATTCCCCCATTTAATAACCGAGCCGCGGCCAGAGTACAGACTCTTCGTGAGGGATCACTGTCCGTGGTAGGACCGAGGCTCTTCAATGTCTTGCCAAAAGCGCTGAGAGGAGGGGAGTTCACCCTTGCAACATTTAAGAGACGACTGGACAAGTGGTTGAGAATGATCCCGGTTGTCCAGTAATGGGAAACCACCCTCAGCAAGTGACAAGCAACAGCATCTTGCATCAGCTGGCCCAAAGGAGGGCATATAGACGAAACACGTCCAACGTTACACCCGACGACGACTCGGAGACGGAGGACGACGAAGGCGGCGCATCAGCGTGACCGTGGACTACGACGTCCTAAACTCATCACAAGGTCACAAGGTCACAAGTTCTATATATGTAAGGCCCAAGTCCCGGATTTTTCAGGGCAATCAGCCCAGCAGAAGCACTGCGAAATAACTTCAAACATGAGGTAATGCGTAGCAACCTTTTACATGGTCGGGCTTCAATTTCAGTTTCTACAATTTTTGTATGGTTCATCACAAGGAATATATTACCCAGACGTGATCTTTTCTGCTCACCTCGAATTACTCAGACTCTGGCTTACACGTGGAGGCAGAATTGCCTAAATTTTATTGCAGAGCCACACAACTGACCATTAATGGCCTGGTATGGCTTTATTTTATTATAGGCAATCAAGAATTTTTATAGAATTTGTACAGTTTTTGACTACGTCCAAACGTGTTTGTTCTTCGAATAGATTCATTAGAGTAGGCCTTCATTCGCTTACAATCGACTCTCCCACTTTGCGTTTTGACTTAAAGAAAATTTTTTCCGTGGGAGAGAATGTTAAATTTTGAATATGATGCTAGCAGTGCAAATGTTTTCCGTCCCATTCCGTTAGCATCCGTTGAATCAAAAGCGGTTTTAGGTTTGAGTCTTCGTTGAACTTGACGATCACAATTTGTGGAATCCACAATCATTTGAAACTCTGGCTTATCCTTCAACTAAGCCAGAGTTGAAGTCTCTTCGAGACTTCAACTAAACAAAACCGTGCAAGTTTGAGCAAAACACAATGAATGTTTCGACAGTTTTATTTTATTTTCAATTATACCTAATTGAAGACCAAATAAAAGTTCAATAAATGTGATTTCCTGGTGAAATCACGACCAAGACTTTTTTTCGCGGCCAAAACCCTTGTTTGTGAACTAAATTCAATCACTTTCTTTTATAATGTTTTTCCGTAGAGATCGTTGATTTAGCTAAATAGCAAAATAGCAATGGAGTTGCAACAATAAATTTGAGCGCAAGCATACGTTTGTTCCATATTCGGTACATTATTTTGAGAAGGTATATATGCGCATATAGAGATTTGATTCGAAAACATTATTGACCTACCGACTGCCAGTTGGGTTGATATTTCAAACAAGATAGTTACCCATGAAAGTAATACCGAAAGAAAGTTTCATTTTCTCTCAATCTTATAAGAAAACTAGACTATTTGGTTTACAAGCTAATCTAAATTTCCAATCTTGGAATATGGTGAAGAATAATTCCAGAAGTAACTATTTAGATCATGTTGAAATAACAAAATTAAATGTTTTAAAATATAAGCGATTATTTGCACCAGGAGAGCAACGACGGATGATTCCCTTTTCATGTATTATTTAAATAGGTAGGTTTGAAGTTTAAACTCCAGCTTTAACACAATATGAACGTTGAACGCCCTAGCAGTTGAATTAACGATAGCAGGCTTTGTGCTCAAAAGTTTGGTGACCCCGCCACAGAGCCCCAAAACAGAACTTCTTCCGATAAACACGGATAAAGTTAATTCTTATCCACAAGCCCAAATTATCGTCTCCTGAACTGAACACGAATTATGTACACAATCTTTTCTTTCTTCCCTATTCTAAAATCTTAGAGTACAAAATTTTCATTGAGTTTGAGCGAAAAAAATATCTAATTTCTAATCCTTTCTAATTTCATCTAATATTTCATGAGAAAATGAATAGTAAAATAGACATATGTGCAGAGTGTTTACAAAAAAATTTTTGATTAATTACATGACAAAAATTTCCAACACAACGGGTTGCGTAAATAACCGTTGAACTGCGAATCTATTTGATCAAATTAATCCTGAATAAATTAATATACGCGACGCAGGCTTATGTTGCATGTCGCCATTAAGGACTGTCGAGGCGTCCATTACGCGGAGTGTGTGCCCAAGCTCTCGCCAGGCTCTCGCGCTGCCTCAGCTATTATGACAACACTTCAATAACTATTGGAACTGAATCGTAAACTGCTTATACATACTTTATTGCATAGACATTATTTTATTAATGCTTGTGATCTTCCTCCTTTATAAAGGGCCAAATTTAAGATCATGTATTGAAAGACATTTCTATCACCCAGACGGAGATTGACTGAAGATAGTTTATTTTAAGTTTTTTTTGCGGTTGAAGTATATGATCAATGCTCTGTAATCAGATAAACTGTCACTAATCAAATGTAATACAATTATGTATTGAAGAAAAATTGATTTGTTAAGTATGAAAATCTAAAACTAGTGTTAACAAAGCCCTAATATTAAAACATCTGGAAAGAACAAATGAATATCATTCTTTCGAAAGAAGATTGGACTAGGAAACAATTGGACAGGGATTGAATAATACCGAAAGGAAATAATGATTTGACAACGTTGAGGTATTGTGTTGAGGTAATATACGGTAACGAGCTCCTGTGAGGCGCAGAGGTAGAACTTATTTATCAGACCAGAGTGAGTTCCAAGTGTGATGCAGCTAGCATAGGCCTATGTAAATATGGCATTGTTTGTAGCGGCCTACAGCCGTGGGGCAGAGATTATTGATTGAAACTCTGGCAAATAATAAGTTCGACGTCAGCTTATTGCACTAATGTATATAGATATAATCTATTAATGTGTTTATAAGTTATTTCGTATTCTACATAGCAACGCTCCAATTTTAATTATGAAACTGCATCGTGACCTAGGTTTGTTTATCCTAAGTGATCCTCAGAAATCTATGCAGAAGGCTTTTTATACATTCGACAAATATCTTGCAATGATATCAGATTAAAGAGATTTATATAAGAAGTATATATTGACTCTAGATATAGAAATCAATTAACAATGGACAAGGGAGGACGGACTCACGCACTGACGTGACATCGTCTTTAGAGTTGCTTTGAACTGCATGCGTTCTAGGCAATGTTGTATTTGACAGTAATACCTAACAATGAGTGTATTATTAATGCACGCATTTCAACACAAAGTACCTCTATTACGGAATAACGCAAAATAAATTAAATTTCATTGAACTTTTGGGGTTTTCTGCACTTTAGGTTCTCATCATTTACGGGATTCTTTCACCGATGTATAAGACATGAGCTAGTGAGGCCTATATTTACTAGCGCAATTGAACAGGCATGATTTACCAAATATATTGTGAAAATTCGCCGTATTTTTGACCTGAACTTTCCGGCAAGATAGCTCCCAAATCGAGTTACCGAAATAGCGCCCAGTGACAATCCCCAGCACCTACAATTAAGTGATGCATTGTTCTGTTATGTTCGGGTATCTTATTGAATATTTTCGGAAAGTTGTGGCAGTAGTAGGGATAAATAGCGAGAAAGAAGCAAAATTGGGCACAGCATGAAGTAAGTGATGTGATGCGACAAACTGCTTTCATGTGATGACCGGTGGCTTCCGAGGCTACGTGGCTTCCCATGCAGGGATATTTGGAAAAATGATGCTCAATCGTGGTGCCCATACAGTAATAAAGAGCAGTTCACCGAATCGATTCGATTAGAGTGTAATATTAATTGATTATTTGTGAATGTCACTAATAAATAACATGCTTTATGTCAACGGGTCTCGCAAAAAAAAATAACTAAAATGGTGTGTTCGGTTCCATGCAAGTGCTCGTTTGCTCACAGAATTCCAAGTGAAATTCCTCCCTGAAATTAATGCTCAGCTGACAGCTAGGGCATCGCG